ATCTCTGTTTTGTCCTGTGAAAGTTCCATTTTCTGTTCTTTGCACCATTCCAAGGCCGCGCTGGCCACGCTGTTGGCCTTGTGCTGAAGTTCTATTCTGGAGTTTCCTGTTACTATGACGGCGAGGTCGTCTGCGTATGCAATTGGTTCTAGGTTGAGACTTGCTATTTTTTCTATAAGTTCGTCGAATATTAGGTTCCAGAGGCTTGGTCCTAATATGGATCCCTGAGGGCAGCCTTTTGTTACTGGTTTTCGTACTGCGCTGTTGCTGCTTTGTATGCTTGCCGTTCTATTGGATAGGTAGCTTTTGAGGAGTTGGTAGATGTTTCTGGGGCATGACCTTTTCTTTAGGTTGTGTAGGACACTTGGCCACCACACGTTGTCGAATGCTCCAGAGATGTCAAAGAATAGTGCTATTGCGTATTTGTGTGTTGTGTCTCCTACTATTTCCCGAAGCGCGACCACCGCGTCTTCGGTGCTCTTGCCGGTTTTGAATCCGAACTGTCTTTCAGCTGTAAGCGGGTGGTGATTCAGGAGTTTGGCGATTTTGTTGTTGACGAGTTTCTCGAGAATTTTACTGAGGGTTGGTAGCAGACAGATCGGACGGTAAGATTTGGCGTCCGACCTGTCCTTGTCCTTCCCTTTAAGGAGCGTCACAATGTTTCCGTTTTTCCATCTTTTGGGGAATATTCCTTGAGTGAGACATGTGTTGTATAGTGTTGTGAGCTGTCGTTTGATATGTGGCCAGGCCACCTTGACTATTTCATTTTCCAGTAGGTCATCACCTGGCGCCTTGTTATTCTTAAGTTTCCTGATTACATTTTCTATTTCATTTTCTTCAAAGAGTGGTGTATCTTCGGTGTCAGGGGGTGTATCTGCGTCTATTCTGAGTTCTTTCTGTCTGTCTGTTTCCGCGTGTACGTTCTCGTCTGGTACTAAAGTGTTCAATAAGATTTGTGTGGATTCTTCCCAGGTTGTAGTCTGGCGGCCATCAATGATAATGGACTCGCACGCCTTTTCTGTTCTGATCTTTTCTGTTTGGAGTTTGTAAATTAGCCCCCATGGTTTATCGTTCCCTTCTTTTGTTACAAAGTCCCTCCAGCTATTTTGTTTTGCTAACCGTGTTGCTGATCTGTATTTGTTCCTTGTTCTGTTGTACCGTATTTTGATATCCAGGTATGCTACTGTATCTCTATTTCTTTGGAGTTGGCGTCTTAGCCGCTGTACGGTCGCCTTAAGGGCTGTGAGGTGTTGGTTCCACCAGGGGACAGACCTTTGGAAGCGTGTCTTCTTTGGAATTGCCGCGTTGCATGCTGCTTGGATAGCCCGTACTATTTCCCCGGATATTGTTTCAGCATCCTTCGGGTGTGTGGTGTCGTCTTCTGTGCCTACGTCTCTGATTTCTGAGAGTATTGTGGCTTCGAATTTCTTCCAGTCTGCTTTTTTGATATTGTATCGGGTGGCTTTCGGCTTGTAGTCTTCTGGTATCTGTGTGTCCATAGTAATTTGGATCGTATTGTGGTCGCTGCTTGTGTTCTGTGCCAGGATCGTCCAGTCTGCTATCTCCTTGTATATTGTGGTGGTGGTTAACGTTACATCTATATTTGATTTTCCGCGTGCGTTATCGAATGTGAAATTTTCGGAAGGTTGGTTCATTATGAACAGATTATTCTGCAGGATGAGTTCCTCCAAGGCCTCTCCTCTTGCATCTGTGATTTGACTATGCCACAGGGTCGACTTGGCGTTGGCATCGATACATATAATTATCTTATTTCCTTTCAGCTCTTCGAGGATGCGCTCGAGGTGTTGGAGATACGGGTGAATGTGGTCGCTGCACTGGAAATACGCGCTAACGATGTAGAATCTATGAGCCGCGGTAGTAATTTCTGCACACGCGAAGTGCGTGTTCGAAAGGTGTCCTATTCTCATGGCTGTGTATGTTGGATTGGTGACGATGATGGCTGCCTTGATATTTCCCGATGCTGTCATGCCTGTGAATTTATCTCTGTCGAAGATGGTCTTACTTACCAATCCGAAGCCAGGTACTGTATTTCTATAGCTGTATGGTTCCTGCACCGCTAGTATGTCGATTTGATCCTGAACTATTGCTTGTCTCAGTTCGTCCGTCACTATTTTCGCATTCTGCATGTTCAGTTGGGCTATTTTTACTTGCTGCATTCGTGCGGTGTTTGCTGCGGAGGTTTTGGTGTGGGTTTTACTTTCCATAGTCAATTCTATTTATGTAGGTTCTTATGGCATTCTCGTACGCTGGGCAGTCTTTATCCCGTGAGCAGTGGTTGTGCGGCTTGTTGGCTCTCTTGCAGTTGGCGCATGTGGGGTTCTGTGATTTCGATTTGCAGTCTTTGTATATATGTCCGGATTGAGCACAGTGGCCGCAGGTATCTTCGTTGGCTGTGCAGAACTTGGAAACATGTCCGAATGCCTGGCATTTATAGCAGCGGCTGACCGCTAGGAAGTCCTGGGTATTGCATGCGCTCCAGTCTATAAACACTTTCCCGCTCTTTTTCAGAGTTTCTCGGATCTCCGGGGTCACCTCTACCACCCAGTTGACCTTCGTCCTGCTTTTATCTCCTGTTTTGAAGGCCAGGTTGAAGTCCTCTGTGAATTTTGCGATCGTTAGGTTTTCAAAGTTTTGGTCGTGTATCGCCTTTAAAATTTCGTTGTCTTGCTTGTCCGTTGGGATGCTGTATATGATCATTCTGGGTTTCTTCCTTGGTGGCAGTCCTACCTTAAGGCCTACTGCTTCGAGTTTTTGGTTTCTGAGCAGGTGCTGCAGGTCCTCCGGTGTTTCCGTTTCGATCAGGATTCCTTTGTTGTTGATCTTCCTCACGTTTCTTATCTTTAGTTTTTCTTTAGCCGGCGTCATGCTGCTTACTATTGCCTTTTTTGTTTCTTCACTATCCTTGATGGTACTATTTTCTGACGGGTACACCGTAATTACATTCCTGGGGGGTTTTATCGCTGTCTGTGGCACCACGTTTGACCTGACCTTCACTTTTTCGGCATATGACAGGGCGGATTTACCCGTGTTGCTCTCTATTTCCAGGATTTTGGCGATTGCGCCACCGATCTTGGCGTCCAGCTGATCGAACCTGCTGTTTATGTGCTCTTTCTCGTTAACCTTGCGTTTCAAGACCTCGTTCTCTTCTTGCTGCGTTTTACAGATTTTGTACACTTGCATTGCTTTCTTCTTAAGGTATTTGGCATCAGCAGTGTTCAGATCTCCCGCAATTTGCTCGCAGAACGATAACAGTTCCGTAATACAGGTTAGCCGGTCGGTCTTCCTGCTTTCGTCTCTCTCCTCCTCGGTGCTGCAGACGATTTGCTTCTTTTTACGCCTTGTGATCAGTGCAGCGTCTGAGTCAGCAGCATCCGAAGTTTCCTCTTTCCTTTTCCTGCTTGCCTTCTTCCGCGAGGCTGAGAAGTCGCTGCTGTCTATCTCCATCGTCGTGCGAAGTCCTTTTCTTGACGTGTGGATGTTGGTCGGTTCCTACTCACGTCTAATATAATCCGTTTCACTTCACAACACTTTCACTTCACAACACTTCACTTATCACTACGCGAACCTACACTACACAACACTATTATTCATAATTTAATTTTTAAATTTATAAATTTAATCTAATTTGTTTGTTCTTTATTTGTTTATTTATTTATTAATTGTTGCTTATTGTCTATTTATTTGTTCACTTATTATAATACTACTTTTAAGTTTTACGTTTTTAGGCTTTTTTTCTGTCCACTTTTACGTGATCCGAAGCGCTTTTTATATTGTCACTATGTTCTATGTATTTATTTATAACTAATTAATAATATAAAAACCTTAAATTTATCGATCACTCGTAACTGGAAAAATTTTCCGATGGCCGGGGCCCCTGTAACGCTAGGGTGGTCCTGAGCACGAGTTACAGCGCCACTGCAGCCGCGCGGTCACTTTCGTGCACTACCGACGCGTCGCTTCGGCGGCCATTTTTTCACGAAAAACTTTAGACGTTAATAACTTTTTTATTTGTCATCAGATTTTCACGATTTATATCTCAAAATGTTCACTGTCACTAGCACTTTACACTGATATATAATTTCCAATAGTCACTTCACTTTTAACCACTTTTCCGGATCACTTTTGCGGAGCGACTCGCGACGCGTGGTTGCTGCTCGGCGCCATCTTGGAAACTCAGTAGATAGGGACATGTCTATGTCTATGTCTATGTCTTTCTCATTTATGTTGCAGTTTGCGAGCTTTGAGCTCATTACTGCCTCGATCATAATCTTTTACCTATCCGTTTCCCAATACGGATAGGTGTTTTACGAATTTTGTGTCGTTCGTTTTGTGGGTTACTTAGCCGCAGGGTTTTATGCCCTCGTTTCCGTCCCCGCCACGTGGAGGCGAACCCATTTCTACTTATTTTAGACATTTTGTTTCTTTGATTTTGATAGACATTTTGTTTATTTGTTTTCTTTCGTGTCCAGCACGTTTTGTGAGCATATTACTTGGTAATATCTCTCTTTTTATTTATATATCAATTATCCTTAAGGTGTTCGGATTTTGTTTGTGTTTTTGTTTTTGTTCATTTTGTTGGATGTTTCTTTGGTTCGTTAATTCTCTAGGTCACAACTTAGTTGTAAGGATATTGCGATTTATGGATTTGTTTTTCCTTTTGTTTTGTTTTCTTTTGTTTCAGATGCTGTGTGCCAACATCCAAGGTTCTTACATATAAATACAGACACGTGGAGCTGTGCCACAAGGTGAATATTATATTTCTTGTATACTATTTACACTGATAAATAAATGTCTTTGTTGACAGGTGCAGATGCTACGACTATGTACATATAAGCCTAATCACTGTCTTGAATTGCAATACTCCGCAGGTAATTTTTCCTTACTGTAAATAATTGCACTGCGAATTTGACAAAAGCCATGTAACTGTCCTTATTACTTATGAGGATATTCCAATTGTTTGTGCAGTCTGAAAGGAGTGAGTACCTAAACTCGCCGTATCTGGGGCAGTGGAACAAAATATGCTCCACTGTCTCCACCACATCATTGCAAAACGGACAGCATTCCGAGCAATTTACGCCCCGTGCTTTTAAACTATAGTTAATAGAACCATATCCAGTAAGCAAGTAAGTGCACAATCTGGGCGGAACAAACCAATAATTTAAATCGCTGAATGTTACATTTGGTATGAATTTATGCGTGATACGCCCATGAGTTTCATTGTTCCAGTTAATCTGCCATTCCCTGAATAATTCTGCTTCAATTTTCGTTATTTCCTCTACAATAATTTCGGGGCTAATCTCATTTGCGGTAGGCTGAAAACTATAATTCTTCCAACAAACTTGCGAATTTCTTTTAACTTTTCTTACCAAGGCGAATTTACATATTTCCAGATTGATAGGCAGATAACCTCCAATAACCTGCATGGCAGCGGTAGACGCGGTTCTACATGCCTTCGTTAGGACAATTAACATGGCTCTTTGTGCCGCAAAAATGTGTCTCTTAATCATAGCATGTTCAACTTTATCGTACCAGATAATGGATCCATAATTAATGATAGGTAAGAAGACTGCGCGATATAGTGTGTTAAGTATAGGCTTTTTAATTCCCCATTCTTCGTGAGCGTGGCGTTTAATTGACATTACATATTTTACTAGTCTGTTTCTGATAATTTTAACGTGAGTATTGAAATTCATCTTATTATCAATGTATACCCCTAAGTATTTATACACTTCTACATATTTAACTTTAGTGCCATTTAATTTAATATTCGGCATCCTCTCCCTATCAAACTTACCCTTCATCATCATGGCCTGAGTTTTATTGACCGAGATCTTTAATTTGTTTAAAGCACACCAGTTCTCCAGTTTCGTGCAAGAGGTGTTTAAAAGCTCTTCAAGTGC